TAGTATCTGGTGTGGTCACCATTTGCCTCGCGCAGGGCAGTACATCTTTATGTTTATGTTTATTTATTTGCCAGATGCTTTTATCCAAAGCAACTTACAACGTATAACCTATAGGGCATGTTGTGATCTGTGGGGGAAACCGGAATACCCGGAGGAAACCCATGCATGCATGGGGAGAACACGCAACTCCACACAGAAAGGCCGCAGCCGAGTTTCGAACCTGCAACCTTCGTGCTGCGAGGCAACAGTGCTAACCACTGCGCCACCATGCATCCCATCTTTGTCACATAGAGTTGATAAGGTTGTTGATTGCAGCCTGTGGAATGTTGGTCCACTCCTCTTCAACAGCTGTGCGAAGTTGATGAACATTGGCAGGAACCGGAACACACGGTCGTATACGCTGATCCAGAGTATCCCAAACATGCTCAATGGTGACATATCTGGTGAGAATGCTGGCCACGCAAGAACTGGGATGTTTGTGAGTGTTTGCCCACTCAAGTCAGTTATGACGATGGACTGCAGCCAGGTCTAGACCCCGATGAGGACGATGAGCATGCAGATGAGCTTCATTGAGACGGTTTCTGACAGTTTGTGCAGAAATTCTCTGGTTAAGTAAACTGATTGTTGCTGCAGCGGTCTGGGTGGCGGGTCTCAGAAGATCCTGGAGGTGAACATGCCAGATGTGAAGGTCCTGGGCTGGTGTGGTCACACGTGGTCTGGGTTTGTGAGGCTAGTTGGATGTACTACAAAATCCTCTACAACACCTTTGGAGACAGCTTATGGTAGCAAAATGAACATTCATTTCACAGGCAACAGCTCTGGTAGCCATTCCTACAGTCAGCATGCCAATTACATGGTCTCTGATGCTCCCAGCATCTGTGGCCTTGTGTTGTTTGATCAAACTACACATTCAGGGTGGCCTTTTATTGTGGGCAGTCTAAGGCACACCTGTACATTATTCTTGCTGTCTATTATGCACCTTGATATACCACACCTGTGAGGTGGGATGTATTAAAGGAAAAATGCTCACTAACACACAAGTAGACAGATTTCTGAACAATATTTGAGAGGTATATGTTTTGTGCATGTTGAAAAAAGTTTCAGAAGTCTGAGTCCAGTTCATGAAAAATGGAAGCAAAAGCAAAAGTGTTGAGTTTATATTTTTGTTCAGTGTAATATTGAACAATGTTAAAATCTGAGCCTCTATAAAGCATTTAAAATTTTGTTGGAGCTTGGATAAATGGCCAAACAAAATATGCATAATAAGGCTCATTATATAAAGACCTGTTTTCCCCACCCACTCCACCTGTGTGTGTGTGTGTGTGTGTGTGTGTGTGTGTGTGTGTGTGTGTGTGTGTGTGTGTGTGTTTGTTTGCTTGTTTGTTTGTTTGTTTGTTTGTTAAGATCCCCAATAGCCACTGTTAAAACAGTTGCTATTCTTCCTGGGGTCATAACATCATCCAAAAAAGAAAACATTATTCATGCATCAACACTGGGCTCACAAACAAACAATCCATTTCACTATACAATATAAATCTCCACTATAAGAGCACACCACATTCCACCCAATACAGCACCAAAATTACATACATTTCCCGTAACATAAAACGCAAATTACTCCACACATACAGGACAACAAAACATAAAATAAAACATAAAACTCATCTTCCTCAAACTCGTGTAAAAAGGGTATAAATAAATATCTGCAACCTCTTACAAAAATCACTTCTTTGTAGCTGACCCCTCAAGATTTGTGGTAAACTATTCCATTCCACCATAGCTCTATACATTACTGACCTATGAAGAAAATTAGTTCGACTAACTGGCAACAAAAAGCAGCCATCAGCTTGACACGTAGCATGTTGGTGAACATCTCTAAAAAAATGTCAGCTGATTTAAAGAAATGTCTGGTGTCTGTGTATTTATAACATTCCTAATAAATTTTATAAGTATGTACTTTATTCTACTTCTTACACCCATCCATGCTAGAGCAGTATGCATGTCCTCACAACTCCTAAAAGAACAATTTAAGACTAATCTAGCAGCCTTATTTTGTGCGACCTGTAACTTATTTAAGTTTGCTTCCATAGTAGCAGCCCAAATTACTGCACAATAGTCCAAGTGGCACAAAACAAGAGCTTCAACTAATACTTTTCTACTTAAATATGGAATACATTTTCTACCATTCCTCACCATTGCCATGTTCTTTCCCATTTTAATTAAAATCTGTTTCACTTGACTATTCCAACTTAACGTTTCATCAGCTGTTAAACCCAGTAACCTAACTTCTCTAACCTGCTCAATTGGTATTTCCCTTATGCATAAATTCAATACAGGTTCTCTCAACAAATGAGGTGATCCCATCACCATACATTTAGTCTTCTCCACATTAATAGCCAACTTATTTTCATTAATCCACCCTTCTACTAACCTCAGTTCCTTTTCCAAAATAGAATTTAATTCCTCCAGATTCCTTTCCACTACATATAAAATCAAATCATCCGCATATAATACAATCATGGCACTAGGGTTGTCACGGTAACCGGTATAGCGGTAAACCCCGGTAAAAAAAAGTTGACAATAAAAATAACCGTCCAGTTTTTAAAAAACTAAATTATCTCGGTGGGTTTACCGTGGCCGCGGTTTCGGCGCGGTGACCCTTACCAGCCACCGTCGCTTCAGCTGAAGTTCCCGCGGCGCGCACACGCACTTTTTAGTTTGCAACGGCACCAAAACTTTGAAGCTGAAATAATGGCCGAAGGAGGAGACGGCAGCGCCCAGGACATCCATCAGCCCTCAAAGAAGACTAAATCGGAAGTATGGGCATATTTTGGATTTCTGAAAAATGCTGAGGGACAGTTAATAGAAGACTGCTATCCCGTTTGCAGAACGTGCAGGAAACAAGTGTCTGCAAAAGGCAGCAACACTTCGAATCTAATGGCACATCTGCTTGACCATCACCCACGTCTCTACAGCCAGTGCAAGGTAAGTTAACATTAGCATTTTAGCTTAAATGCATGGCGTGAGGACTTTTGGTTGAGGGAGAATGCAACGAGTCATTATATACTGCAGCCGCAGCGTCCTCTGCCAGCATTTAAACCGTGTCACGGACACCCTGTTGCTGGATGAAGCATCTTATTTGTTGATGATGAAGAGAAATATACAATTAGTTCCTTGTCATTGATTTGTTTACTTATTCAATGCCATTTATACTTGAACATTTGGATTTGATTACATAGTGTAGTAGTTATTTTAGTCATTGGTTTAAAGTGGCTATTTATTTTAACTACATATTTTTTAAGGTTGACTTGTACAGCGCTCAAGTCAAGTGTGGACTGGAGTTTTAGATTTTCATTTTGATAATGAAGAAAACAAGTATATGAGAAAACAAGTGGTGTTTCTTTGATTTGTTTACATATTGTTTATGTTTTGAATGTTTGGATTTGTATAATTTAAACCTGCACTGACTACTGTAACATGTTCCAGAAAAAGAAGCTCTTTGTTCCTTTACTTGTGAAAAGTTGCACTTTTGCTAAGGCTTGTGTTATTTTAGGTTTAATAAACACTGTTAAACCTTTTCTAAACTATTTCAGTTTGTGTAGAACAGGACTATCAATGCTTTCTGAACATATGCAACACCGTTTAAAAAATACCACGATAATACCGAAAACCGTGATAATTTTGGTCACAATAACCGTGAGGATAAATTTTCATACCGTGACAACCCTACACGGCACATTCTAACATAAATGGAAGATCATTAGTAAAAATTGAAAATAACAAGACAACTTCCCTGCGGAACCCCACATAAAAGATTCTTCCTTCGAGAATAACTGCCATTAAACAATACCATAAATCCCCTTCCAGTTAAGTCACTTTCCACCCGTTTAATAGCTGATTCATGAAAACCATACAACCCTAATTTTATCAGTAATAGATTATGATCCAGTAGATCAAATGCCGTACTCATATCCAATAATACCATACCAGTTAGTTTTCTATTATCCATATTAGTCATCCAATCATTAGTCATCTGTGCTAGTGCTGTTGTTGTTGAGTACCCCTTTTTATATGCATGCTGAAATTTAGAATTCAACTCATTTTCCTCGAAATATAGAGTTATTTGATCAAAAACCAGTTTTTCTATTAATTTCCCTAAAATCGGTGAAATTCTCACCGGCCTACTATTTTTCTCAGAAAAATGCTCCTTATTATTTTTTGGAAGATGAAGAATTTTTGCCATTTTCCATTTCCCTGGACATTTACATTCTTCCAAACTCAAATTAATAATGTGAGACACCGGAATTGCAATCTCATCCACCACTAACTGCAATAACTTCACATCCAGTTCATCAGTACCAGCAGGTCTCACCTTCATTTTCTGTAAACACCTTCACCATATCAACTGTCACTAATTTAAATGAAAAAGAACATGATTTACTACCCATTATTTTATCTTTAATAATTTTTCCAGTCAAATCCCCTCCTAACCCTACTTTCATATCATCTTGAAATTTTCAAACCTTATTAATGAAATTATCACTTAATTGATTTGCTATATCAACAGGTTTACTCAAAAATGAATTGCCAACTTCCAAATATGTTGGGAATAACTTCGGTTTCCTACCCATAACCTCATTTAACGTATTCCATAGTTTCTTTCTATCCTCTTTTACATTCACAAACTTGTTCTTGTAATACACCTTCTTTTTCATTCTATTTAGTTTTGTAACATAATTCCTTAACCTCTTGTACCTTTCCCATACTACATCATCCCCCGATGTGATTGTTTCTGCCTTAATAACATCCCTTTTCCTCATATTCTTTTAATTCACCATCTAACCACGGTGATACCACATTCCTTACTGTCATTTTTCTTAACGGTGCATGTTTATCTATGACTGGCATCATCAGTTTTGTAAAACTCTCTAATGCTTCATCCGTATCTTTGCTCCCTTGTACCTGTGCCCAACATCATCACAAAAGCTACATTCATTAAAATCCCTAAAAACTCGTTTAATAATTATTTTCTGTCCAGATTTAAGGACTTTAGTTCTTCTATTAATCATAATTAAATTATGATCAATACAGCCCACCCCGACTGACATCGCCTTAGAGCACAGTGATTTTGCATTAGTAAAAAGTAAATCTATACATGAAACTGTTTTCACCGCTCCTACAACAATTCTTGTTGGTTTTGTTCCAACCTGGTTACCACTTGTGCCATTCTTTGTTTGCATCTCCGCCTCAATTCACGCCACCTAAACAAAAATTCTTCAACCTACTATATAGTTATCATCTATATAATATAAGCTTTTACTCTCTCAAATGATCAATAGTAACAGTACTCATATATTAAGAGGAGCACGGCTAGAGTAGTTATTCACATTACTCCCCTCAATCAGCAAGAAGTCCATACCTCTCCATCAGTCATTTTCCATCCTCCTTTCTGACCTCCGGTTCAATCAGTCTTAAAGTATTCTTCTGCCTTACGATGTTCAATGTGTGTGCGTGCGTGCGTGCGCGTGTGTGTGTGTGTGTGTGTGTGTGTGTGTGTGTGTGTGTGTGTGCGTGCGTGTGTGTGTGTGTTGTTTCAGCCTACAGTAGAAGGGTTTGGTGGAGAGGAAAGTGAAAACAGAAACTGAACGTTACGTCAGAGTGGCAAAGACCAGCTGTTTGTAGAAGGGTTGCAAACAAACAAGGGAGAAAAGTGCCAGACCAAACCCCAAGCTGTGGATTTATCTGGCATTCATTTATAGTCTGGATTTTACCAGTATACCCTGGAACGTGAGTGGTGAGTGCTTGTTTTCCCCTCTTTAAACAAGGCTGTTGCCAGCTGAAGGCAACATCTCAGGCTGGTGTTAATAGAGGCTCGGCTTACCGTGGCGCAGCGATAGCGTTGCTGCGGCCAGTCTTTAAATATTGCCGACACTGGGTTGTAACATAAAGATGTTGCAGGACTGGCTATCGTGTGACGTGTTATCACAGCCTTTTTTTATTTTTCTAATTTACAAAGAAAGCCGGTCACACACAGCTTGTGTGGTGTGTTAGGAATCTGGTCTGCTCGAACGTACATTGGGACCACTCTGATGAAAACAATCTGGGCTTTCAAACGTGTTGGATTGTCTTGGTCTGATTTTCAGGGACAAACGAACTTGCTGCCTGCTGAATGTGACGCCTAGCCAATCAGAAAGCCAGGTGAAGGAGTCATGCAGCATGCCCCTTATCAACCATGTTTGTTTACACAATATAACTTGCAAGATTTCCCATCAGAGTGGGGATTATCTGTATGTGAAACAGTTCCTATGTAGTGTGTAGTATTTACCGAGTTGCTGCACACCACACACTGTATGACCAAAATCTGATTTTTTATCACTACGTGTCGCTCATGCAGTCGACCATTACGATTCCTGCTGTTTGAACCAGACTTTAGGAAAATGAGAAATGAATGAAGCATACATACCTTAGGTTGTTTCCTGTTCAAGCAGAAGGCCAGTCCATCCGAACCAGAAACAGAGGAAAGAACAATTAACATTTACACAGAACAGGTTCACAATGTGAAAATCATTTTCTCCCTTTTCTCTAAAACCCCTCATGTCACTTCTTCATTCTCTTCTTTATTCACTCAATTATTCACATCCACACAGTAGATGGCATTTCTTAGTGATAGGTGTAGCTGTGATTGGGGCCATAATTGGGCCAGTGGAGCATGAGGAAGGGAAGAGATTTAGGACTCAATGTCCCACTGACTCTGCTGAATCAATAGCTCTTATTCCTGTGGACCCAATAGTGACAGGAACTCCGGCTCTTTTAGGAGAACTGCTTCTTACGGCTCGGCTCTCAAACGGCTCCTCACATTTTTTGTTTTTAAATTATTTATCACCAGAAAATTATGTAAAATGTGTTATTATTGAAGTGTGAAAGGTCTCCCCAGCCGTCATTAGTGTCTACAGAAGAGATTAATCACTAAATCAAACATATCAGATGTGTTCATGATCTAAAGCATGCAGGAAACCTGCTGGAAGCAGCCTGCAGCACCAGGTATGTCAGCTAAAGAGCGGCCCGCCACACTGAGGTTGTGAGTGTGATATCCTGGCTACAGAGGGCGGTGGGGTCAGAGACTTTTCATTAACATCACACAATAACATTTGTAGAGCCTGGTTTAACGTACAGTTTGACCATTCAACATCTGGTCAAAAAAGAGACACAATACTGCATGTGTTCCCTTTAAATTGGCCTGCCTTCATCCCATCAGCTCAGAGCCTGCAGCTCTGAACACAAATAACGAAATGTCAACAATAACATTCTTTCCTCAAGGTCCAATCTTTCAGGTCTTCATGCCTCCATATAAGGAACACTCGCAACCCGGATCAGTTGCTAAATCAAGAATGATTTCCTAAATCAAATTTGAACTTCTCCTACAACTTACACGCTAGATAATCATTAAATAAACGTTTGTTAATTGCTACTTATAATAATTATAATATAATGAAATGCTTCATTAATCTGTGCTCAATGATTGAAGTTTAAAATGAATGTTATGTTATGATTACAGTGATTGAAATATGTTTCAGCATGTTAATATGACAAGGTAATCACCATTTGCACTCACACAAAGACAAAGTAAGGTTAAGTTAAACTCTGACACATAAACAGTCTTTTACCCCAGTCAGAGCATCCGTATCAAAGAAGGCGTGTTTCTGAGTTGTCTTGGTAACATTCCTCAAACCTGTCAACCTTTGGTTGGTTACACAAATCATAACATGAAACATTAAAACTGGATCACTCTCGGGTGATCTCTCTCCGTTCTAGAGAAAGCTTCAGACCGGCCATCTGAAGCAAAACCCTCTTTAACCATCAAAGCTTTTGACACGTCGTCAAAACCTTTTTGCACCTGCGAAACTGATACAGCAACAGTTCCTGCAGAACTGTTGTTTAGACTCCTTAAAGTGTCCGCCAGACGTGCGGTTCCATCCGTCTGTTGTGACCTGGAGACAACTCTAAGACCGGTTTGGTAGTGCCGCAGTTCTTCTACAGACCTTGGTGGCTGGAAGTCCGAAGACTTCGACATTCCGAATCTCTCACGAGGGTCTTCGAGTGGGTACGTAGACACGACAGATAGCGTCTGATGTGTTTTGATAGCAACCACCTTCATAGCTTAACGCAAACCAAATTATTTTACATCCAGAACTCGGCTCTCGTAGATAAGGAAGTTCTGACTAACACCGCATTCACACATAGGTTTCATACATCACATTTAGTTCCATCCATCACAGTAAATGCTTAGTTAACTTGTCATGTTTTAATTGTTGGTAAAATAAATTCTTACTTTTATAAACCTGACTCTTTCCTGAATCAAAACGAAGTGTTTACAATCCCCCAATAAAGAAAGAATCCTAGAATCTTCTGATAAACACACAAAGACCAAGCAGGGTTGATATTCTATATTTAGATAGGAGTATCACAGCTTATTGGTCATAAGTAGAGGTAATATATATATTGAGCTCTTAAAGCACTCAATTCTCAAACCCTACACTGGTGAAGAGATGTTTTTGCTTCGCATTGTCCACACCCTTCCTTTGAATTGTCAATAGTGGTTAAATGTGTCCAAATCTGGCTGCATTTCCTGCTTTAACTCACGTCCTCCCCATTCTTAGGGGCAGCAGTAGCTCAACAGGTTGAGCAAGTTGTCCAGTAATCGGAAGGTTGCGGGTTCAATCCCGGCTCCAGACAGAAAATTCTGCTGTTGTGTCCTTGGGCAAGACACTTAGCCCACCTTGCCTGCTGGTGGTGGTCGGAGGGACCGGTGGCGCCTGTGCTCAGCAGCCTCGCCTCTGTCAGTGCGCCCCAGGGCAGCTGTAGCTACATCGTAGCTCATCACCATCAGTGTGTGAATACGTGTGTGAATGGATGAATGATACACCGTAGTGTAAAGCGCTTTGGAGTCCTTACTCAGAGAGGCGCTATACAAGTGCGGGTCACTTCTGTAGCCAGATTTTTCTCCCCTTTCTCCCCCCCCCCCCCCCCCCCTCCTCCCACTGCTCTGTGAGTTTACCAGATTTTTCTCCCCTTTCTCCCCCCCCCTCCTCCCACTGCTCTGTGAGTTTACGCCAGTACCTGTCCCCCGCTCTCCCCCTCCCTCGACTCACAGAGGAGCAGAGCAGAGGGCTCATTGAGGAGTTGACCAATCACGTGCAGCTTAAACACAGAGAGAAAGGGAGAGAGAGAAAAGGAGAAAAAAATAACAACTCCAATTCAGCTCCTCCGAGAAGGACGAAACATCACTAGGACTCGACACAGAAGCCAGTCTGGGAAAGCTGCACTCATCAGTACCAGCTGCCAGAACAAAGAATGGCAACAAATTAGGAGAAATTAGTCAGAACTGCTTATCAGCACAGGTTGCGACCTTTTCTGGTTAAGCTCATATATCTCCATGCGGGGATTCTGCTTCTGCCACAACCATGGTTTTTAAAAGTCAGTAGATCCTTCCTGCAGAGGTCTCTTGGCACACACACAGATGACTCACATTCACATGGTTACTAACGCAGCTTGGAGTACTTCAGGAGGCTTGAAACATTGACAAATTTCAGCTGAGTCACTAACAGCAGCTCCACAATAACCCACATACTTCCAAAAGAACGGTTCTCAATTTAAACCTGCTGTTCCTATGCAAGAAAAGAGACCTGGGAGTCGCCTATCAGTGGGATGTACCCGATGTACCCGAAAAACTCTAGAGGTTAGCAACCTCCTAATCAGATGACCAATCCACCTCAGCTGACTCATTTTATTAAGCTGAAATTGGCCTTAAGTGGCCCTTCACAGTGGGTTATGACCCCCACCCACACACACACTCCCTCTCCATACCCTGTTCATTACAGATTGGAACAAATATGGAAAACCTATCTATCTAACATCTATCTACTACAGTGGGGTGCAAAGGTTTGGGTAGCTTTGTTAATCTTCGTGATTTTCCAGTATAAAAGAGAATAGGCTATTGTGATTTGAATGCTTGGTTGAATAGGTGAGTTTTTATTAGTTAGTCAATCTTTAGTAGATTCTTCCCCTGCAGAAATAACAGTCTCTAAACACTTCCTATAGCTTCCCATGAGAGTCTGGATTCTGGTTGAAGGTATTCTGGACCATTCTTCTTTACAAAGCATCTCTAGTTCATTCGATGGATCCGAGCACGAACTCTTTAACTCACCACAGATTTTCAATAAAATTCCGGTCAGGGGACTGAGTAGGGTTGTCACGGTGTGAAATTTTAACCTCACGGTTATTGTGACCAAAATTACCACGGTTTTCGGTATTATCGCGGTATTTTTTTAAACGTGTTACATTTTCAGACAACTAAATAAACCCTGTATCAGGAAAATACTGTCCTCAGTTTGTGTCTAAATTTTGCCTAAAATGTGTTATTTTTTAATTATGTTGTTTTTTTGTTTACATTTTTCCCTTTCATCTTTAAAATACCAATATTTGCCCATAACTTCTTATTTTTTGTCTGTTTGATGTCATCATTTAAAAAATATTAGATCAGATGATACTCAGTACTCAAGTAGCCTTCTAATCAGTAACAGGTTTTAACAGATTTTAATGTAAACTGGACCTTTAGTCTGCAATAATCTATTGTAGCATTAAGAAAGTCATGTACATGCTAGGGGTTGTATCAACTAGTCGACTAGTCGACTTCACTGCTCTGTAGTGACTTTTTATGCCTTTCATCGACAAGTCGCTGTCACGTGATAATGACTGACAAGATGCAGTCCTAGGAAAAGACAGCAGGTGACTGCGGGTCTTGAGCCGACGCACTGTGCCAGAGCGACGTCCGCCGTAAAACGAACATTTGACCGAATTGTGACCTTTACCCTCTTGCAATTTAACCTTCCCCTCACCCCCATCCTAATGTTAACCAGCAGGCACATGCAAAGCTCTGATCGTTGACGCACTCCAGACATCTGCATCCTGAATACGGCCACAGTAACATTATCAAATTAGGTGTCGCCACCTCAAACACAAGATCGTTTATGTCGGCTCATTTCCTTTTATGTTTTCTGTCTTTTATTGGTGCCTGATGTGTTTCGCTGCTGTGGAGTGAAGCGCATCACCTGTTTTGTCCTTCAGTGACGCACTGCACTGGTGTGGCCGGCGCGAACTCCATTGTTTTTGCAGTCGGTAGATCTTTTAGAACTGAAGTTCAAAGGTAACTCGTAAGGTGAATATATATGAACCCAGGTAGCAGTTTTTCTTTAGGACTGAGAGGAGATGCAGGAAGATAATAAACAGAGACAGGACAGAAAAATAGTCAAATAAAACAAGTTCCTTTTTGCACCTGGTGGTTGCAACAAACAGACACCATTGAAGGTAATCAGAAGTGAGGAACAGAAAATGAAATAATTATTTTAATGTTTAGAGCAGCAGGAACTCTGAGAGGCTGCAGGCACATCAGTGAGTTTGCGGCCACTGCGCAGGGGGA